CTAGCATATATTGCTTTATGCATAGGAAGAACCTGTATCACTGAAGTATAAAACCACGGCCAAGAAGCAGAAATATTTTGTCAGGTTGTTTTTTCTTTTTTAGTTCTACATTTAATCATCTACCTTTCCGCAAGGTAGTTTTACCTTAAAAGGCTTTTAAGGATCTTTAAGCTACTTCTTCCACAAGTATGTATGCTGGATTGCATTAAGGATTTAACTCATCTCTCCCAACCAAGCTCAACAAAAGAAAGCAGCTTAGCTTTTAGTTTAAGAGACTTTTTTCATACAACCTCACAAAACTTGACCTCCATCAGCTCTAAGTACGCTAGGCTGTCGATAAAATAACTGAAATTTACTAGCAGTAGAAAACAATTGAGTTTTAAAAAAAAATTTGCTACTGGAAATCTGCTTTGGTTCTGAGTAAGGTAGGAAACAATTCTGCATTCAGTGCAAATTTACACCTCTTACATAAATGGAGCTTTTGAGCATAGTGGAATCAGAAGACAAGAGAAAAAAAAGAATTCTGTTCAACTAAGAGCCAAGTGCAAAAAAGTATTTCAGAATTACAAAAATCTAACTGACAGACTTGTTTCAAAAACATCTACTACTTTACTTAAAAGCAAATGTAGAAGTGAGGGATAAGATACACTTCACCAGGCTCCAAATAATAATATGGGAACCTATATTTAAAAACTGCTCCAAAGAAAGACAAAACTCTTAGAATAAAGACTAAATATATGTGGGTCTTTCACTCAAGTTAATGGAATTCATGAAGCTAAAAACTTTGTTGTTGTTTTAGGATGTGCTATTTTTACTCCCCTGCTCTCATCTGTCTTACAGATTTTGATTCAAGTCCACTGCAATCTCCACTTCTTTAGTGGCTGCCACTTTGTGCTGATACTTCCATAACATACTTGAGCAGTAGTACTTCTGTGTAAGAAAAATGAAAGGAAAGTAAAACAACAACTACAAATAACTTTTGAGAAGTCTAGAAGATAAAAAGTGAAGTATTTAATGTACAAAGTCTTAGATGAAAAAAAAGGAAGCATTCAGAAGCTGAAATCGATTTAACTCACAGGAAACAGTTCCTGACACATCCAAGTTATACTTGAAAAAAGGGAGGAGTTCTCTTGAAGAGCCACAAGCACATCCAAAAATCTCATCTCCCTCTTTACACCATCAGGAAGAAGAGCTGTAAACTGTAGGCTGGTATCACAGCTATTGTTTCATGAAGTACAACACACCCATCTTACACTATTTTGCAATGTTACTACAAATTTAAACCTGAGGACCGTAAAAATAAAACTAACTCCTCCACATTTTGGTCTCTCTTATAGAAACATGAAAGCTATTTTATTACACTAAATCCAAGTCACATTTTTCATTCTTCTAAGTTGGTGACATGAATCAAAGCAGTTCCTGGAACTGGAATTATTTAGTAAAAAGGCTCTGATTGAGATTTAACAACATAAATCTATGTAAGCCATTCATAACTACATAGTAACTGTTGCACACTTTTAACAATTACCACATTACTAGTACTCAGAAGTACTGTATTTTTTAAATGTGCTGCTGAAAAAATGCTGCTTCCAATCACCATCAGCAAGCTCCTCTTTCAGCAAAAATATGTACGCAAAATAAAAAGTAGCAAAATATCACAGGAAAACAAGTTTCCTGATTAAGCTATTGTGAAATTGGAATACGTATATATTGAGCTGTAACAGCAGATTTGCACTCACCAACTTTTGCAAAGCATGAGAAAACCTCCAACCAATACTGAAGTGTTTATTAATAACTTATCTACTTGAGATCCCACAACTAGATTAATAAAATTGTTTAGGCACCACGAGGCTGTCCATTAGATTAACAAACAATGCAATCCAATTTTTAATATACAACATTACCATTAAAAAAAGAATGCTTCAGAAAGAGAAATCCCCATACAGAAAATATTTTTATGATCTGGTAACTAAACTGAGTAACTGGTGATCGCATTAAACTTGATTATACATCATTTTTCAAAAACTGTTACACTGAAAAATTGAAGTTTAGCAACTTAGGGAAAAGACACAGAAAGAAACTTTAAACAGCAAAATCTAATACTGCAGCCTTATATGAGAGGATCCAACTCTGGTTGTCATTGCACTTACCATTTTAGTCCTTCTTACATACCAAACAGCAAAAAAGGGTAAGATATAAGTGAAAGAAGCTTAGTTTTCAAAGCTTTTTGGAAACAAAAACAAGGATTAGAAACAATTAATATTGTCCTTCTAAATATGTGATTGGCAGAAGACTTTAATATGCTGTAAGGATTATGCCAAAAGAGTTTACCTAGACTTGATATTGCAAAAACTATGCACCAGTATCATAAAATGCAACTTCCAGCAAGAGGCAACTTCTAAACAGAGGACAGCTGTACGTACAATGGTTATCTGACACTAGAAGCAATTACCAGATGGAGTCTGCCCACGTTAAACAAGTATTAGCAAGAATAAATTAAAAAAAAACTACTTAAGAAATTCTACTAAATTGAAAAAAGATTTGATGTATCACTTCATCGTCTCCAGAAATGGTTTACACTTGTTGCTGCAAAATGCAAAGACTTTCTCAATTCTATTTCACACTATACAACTTAAGTACAGTTACTTAAAGACAAATTACAATGAACATCTACAAAATGACAGGCCACACTCAAAGTTACATAGCTGCCCTTATTCTAAATGGTTGCTAAAGGACATAAATAAATACATCACTTCTAATCTTGTTTCAGTTCCTCCCCTTTTGAAGTTCAAAGGACATTAGGAATAAGTAAGTCAACACATGACCAGTATACTAGTCTAAAGACTAGAGAAAACTTTTTAAAATTATTGTATGTGCCACTTCAACTTCACATGACATTGAAAAACAACACTTGTACTATATATTTCTTTATAAAAAAACTTTTGGTAGGGTTGTAACTGCACAGCTCATCTCTATATTCTTGCAGGGAATTAATTAGTTCCAGATGAACACAAAGTTCTAGAAACGCAACTCAGTGGGAAAGCTACACTCTTTAAAAACATTCTTCCATCGTTTGCCTTTCCCCTCAAAAAAATTTCATCATGTAGAATTCACAAAAATTAATTGTAGCGATTGAAGTGCTTTCCATTTGAACCACTCCTCTTCCTGTCTGACACTGCATTTTTGCTATGCCCAGTACACCACTTGAACAGCTTCTATTCACACAGAATTCATAATTTAAAGATACAGATAAGCATGAGGATGGCCCAACTGCATCAAGCAATTCAAGCACAGAGGCTAAGTAACATTATCTGAAGAGACCTCCATGAACCGAACCAGTAGAGGCTGCTGTGGCCAACAATGCTATTTTTCCCCAGCACCTCAAGCTGTAGGATATAGGCCACAATCTCCTAAAAGCAACATAATGTGAAAAAGCTACTGCCATCTCCACCCTGTGGGTTGGCTCTCCAGCTTTGGCAGGCAGTAGCACGGGCCTCACACATCAGCCACAGGAGGATTTTGGCAGGGAACTTATAGGGTAAGAAAGTCAGGCCACTCCAAAAGATGATATTTAAAGATACTAAAGTTAAATGAAATTTTGTATTTGGCACTGCAGAAGTCACAAGCTAAGTGCTATTTCTAAATTACCTCAGACTACAGTTGTCTGCTCCTTCACAAAATGCATTTAATATGTGCCAACACACTAAAGGACGAGTTTTGAAGCCTCGGCTTCATCGCTCTAAAGAACAGATGTATTGAGAGCAGTTTTCTTCCACAGTATGAGCAAATACAGATTGTTTTCTGCTCCAAGTTTCTCAAAACACAATCAGCAAAATCAATCGATGGCTGTTAGTGACGTTAACGGAACAATTTTGCTTCCTCCTCATCTTTACTAAAAAGACTAAGAGGATGGGGAAAAAAAGATATCCTACTGAGAACTGGTACTCTTTTATTTAACGCCTCCTAGGATATCTCAGAACACATATATTATTCTCAACTCTACAGAAAATGTTATTATAGAATATAACATAGGTATTTCTTCCACAAAATCAGAAAGTAGTTGAGAAACCAACAGCTTAATTTATGTATCAAGTTGTACCAGTAAGGGAAACAAAAGTTCCTCCTGCAGACTACAGTCATTGTAATAATGCAGAAGAGCACTATGTGGATTCGCTTATTCAATGCTACAGCACTATGACCAGCTGTAATAGTGAGGGATATCCCTCTCACATGAAACGAAAGCACTCACAACACAAGTTGTGTTTGTTACCTGCTTTAGGTGGTAGGGGAAAATAATAATAAATAAAAAATCATATCCTTGACCAAAATAGACTATTATGAAAAATTAGAAGCTGACTCCTCTGATACCACCATTTTGCAAGTCCTGCAGGATGAGTCTTCAGAGGCAGAACACATCTAAATTACTAATACAAAAAATGTAGACATTACAGGAGAGGGCAAAATTTTTTCCACTTTTATAATTTTTTGGTCTCCTTTAATAAAGATTTTGTTTTCCTCATCTAGTTTTACAGTAGGGTGAAAGAGAAGAGTGATTTTAGGCTCCACATTAACACCGCCCATTTTGTTTCTGAACTACATTATTCTTAAGTTAAGCACAAACCGAAACTGGTTTTGACTTTCAGTCAAACTGGGGCACCTGCTCATGTAATCGTCTTTTATACCCATAACCTCCTGTTTAGAAATACTCTATCACCTTACAAGGACAGATTAATTTCCCAAATAAAAAAGCCAAATTATTATCTGAGCACCTTCACCTAACTGAAGTGTTACATCATCACCTTGTAGGAAAAATAACAACAATCTCATCATACAAGAATGTAACTACACTACTAAATTTTTACCACTCAACTCAAGATAATGATGGAATACTGAAGGAAAAACAGTAAACAAGAAGATGGCAACTCAACAGCTGGTATATAAAAACATTACAATGAGAAAAATTTTTGCAATTCGGACTTTCGCCATAGAATTTTACTTACATTGTCCATGAAATTTGGCTTAAATCCTCCCTCCTGCTGTCGTCGTAATTCCTCCTGTTCCCTCTGGCGCAGCATTTCTTCTTCACGCCGTCGATGTTCCTCTTCATGTCTAGAATGTTTTTCAAAAAACGTGTCAACTTAGTCTCTTCACCTGTTCAGGCTTGTATTCAGTCTCAGGTGATAAGATCAAGCATAAAAACAGAACTGGTAATTTTATTTTTTTCTATAGTGTAAGGCACCATTTCAAACCCATTAGGTAGAGTCGAGATTATGAAGTTTTTTTGAGGTTTTTTGTTGTGGTTGTTTCTTGGTGGGTTTGTTTGTTTGTTGTTTGGGTTTTTTTAACTGGAATACACGTCATTATGACACCAGCACATTCTACACCTGTTCTTTTGGCTATACATTGGTAAGTACGTTAAAATATTCTAGTTTTTAACAAGACTTAAATCATTTCAATACTGCCAAAAGACACATTTTTAATGAAGAGGTGTTTCTTTTTTCTCATCTACATTTCTTGTGGTATTTAACACAGAAAGTACAAACTCAATCAACGTGACGATACTATGTCTGCTTTCTTCAATTTCAGCAGAGGTATGAAGATAATTATTTTTATGAAACAGATTTTTAAGGAAGAACTGTTTGCAACATATCAGAATATCAAATGAAAATACCTAAAAAATGTCATGTCAGATTATAAATTTGCAATGCTACTATTCCACATGCAAATCTTAGAAATCATGGATCATTATGGTTGGAAAAAATCTTCAAGATCATCAAGTCCAACCATGATCTAGTTCTATCAGGTCCACTTCTAAACCATCTTGGAGGTGTGTTCACATCTATTACCGCTTGATTACAGCTATGCTTTAGTTGCAATGTTAAAATAAATAATATATAAAAAAAAAAAAACCAAAACATTAAAGACACTGCTAAGCTATTTAGGGAGCTCAGAAATTTGCAATAGAATTGTCAAGCTGAAATAAATAAAAATAAATACCTCAAACTATTCTTTTATATTAGGTTAAGTGATCACTTTTCTGTTCAAGTACATAACAGAAATGTGACATTTTGCTTTTGAAAAGCAACTTTTTGGCAGCAGAAATATTTTTGTTTGGTATCAGTAGCAAGCTCTACAAGTTACAGCATCTAAATTCATGCTGGCCTACAGTGGCAGTATGATCCAGCTTTGCACAGAAGACAATAAAATACCTCAACTGTATCTGCTTGCGTTTCTGAAGTTCTTGATTTCTAAGTTCTTCCAAACGCCTCAATTCTTCTTGACGCCGCATGAGATCTAACAGGATTTAAAATGTAATAAAGATAAAAGCTGCCTATCAACTATATGACAATGTAAACTGCTATTACTGTCAGATTATAGTTCTAACATTCAATTTTTAAAGAAATTTCTCAACATATTTAACTAATTTCTTTACATAAAGCTAAGCTTAGCATATGAAAAAACACACTGGATCCGCAGCTCACAGAAACACAGAAAGGTAGAGGACTGGCACAGAAAGGTAGAGGACTGGCACAGAAAGGTAGAGGACTGGCACAGAAAGGTAGAGGACTGGCACAGAAAGGTAGAGGACTGGCACAGAAAGGTAGAGGACTGGCAAAGACTCTGAAGCAGGTAACGAAAACAGAAATGTTAAGTCTTCAAAGAAAGAAAATGAGAAAAAACTATCAAATCTCTTAAACCACATCCTGCTTTTACATCTAGTGCAAGGCGTCACTTTTCTCACCATGTTGTGTATTGCTAAAGTCACTAGTAAGAATATGCGTACAGTATATATGGGCTTATGTTCTACGCTACCTACTGCAGACCACTGCATGGCATGTAGGACAAAAAAGTGATATGGACTGGATGTGCACGCTATCCAAGTCTCCACAGAGATTTATCACAACTGCTCTGGCAACTTATGACTCACCTTTTAACACTACAAATAACAAACAACCATATAATCTTTAAAAAGCACGTAAAATGTCCTTAAAAAGCAGGGCATATCTAACAGTAACTACTTGTGCTGTACTAGTTAGTTTCTGACCAGTCACATCATTGATTTTTGCCTGGAAACGTATATTAGTTTTACCTTTTGTTAGAAAGCTGTTGTTTGCCTTTTCTGTCTTCACAGGATATTGGCCACACGGCATTATCTATAGACACCACGAGACACATTCCACTATACCACCTATTATATGTTTTTACGTTCGGTCACTCCACACACTTCTCTATGCCTTTTCTCACTATACTAATTAAAGCATCTTTTTAGCTACGTAAATCATTTTCCTCAAACTTGCATCAGCAGATAGAATTACAACTTAATCTTTATTATCCAAAAACAACTACAATGACCAGTACATTTCACCAAAATATCAAGTATTTGTTTTCTTTCCTAACAAAGAAGATTATCAGATACTTTTTTTTCTCGCACAGCATCCTTATTGACATCAGAAGTCCTTTCTCACGTACATTTTGCAGGCTCTTTTCCAATCCCTTCTGCAAAATTAACACATTTCACACTTCAACAGAGTATGGCTACATTGAAGATTCACTCAAATCACAAAATCTGCGAGCTGATTCTTTCAAACTGCGTTTGCCACACAAGGCTTGGTTACTGCTATCCTGATACCTGGGGAGCACCACAATTGAACTTTTTTTAAATAAACCTTAGATTATTTAAGAGTGCAAGTGCACTTTTTCCTTTTAAAAATAACTTTTCTGTTGTTTCAGGGTACTACTGAGATCAAGAGCTGACCTGTTTTATGCTCAATACTGTCCACTGTGGAAAAAGACGTTTCCTTTTCAGTTCTTGCTCTTTCAAATTTATGTAGCATTCCCTTTTTCTTGTGTTAATACAGCGAGCACAGGATTTCCTACTCTACCTCTAACTGCTACACATTTATCTTTACTCTCTCTTATCCTTAAGGTTTCGAGTCCTACTTTTCCCAGCATCCTCTTAATTCTCTTCTACAGCATAGTTCTGATTATGGCCTTTCCTGAAGTTGTTAATATTTTCAAGTTCAACATATCAATCTGTGATGCAGTACCATTTCAAAACCGCAGAATCTTGGCACAAAGTCTTATTAGCCAGATGAAAATACAGATCTACAGGTTCAGGCTGTTCACAGAGCCATTCATATCAAAAGATATGCAATGACGGTAATTCTGGACTGATGTATGTTGGACACAGGCGCTTTCTCAAAAAAATAAAAAAACTGCGCTAAAGCAGAGTTGCAGAGACAAAAAAAGGGGGGGGGGGGGGAAAACTTTATTATTAGCTTCCACACTCTGTTGTGCTTAAAAGAGGCAAAGTCTTCACTTTATCCTCAGCCTTCTGCAGAGCAAAGGACAGAAGGTGAAAGCGTATTGTCACCTTAGAAGTTAATCCTACAAGCAGGAATACCAAGTCCAAGAAGATCTTTAAGTTACCTGTTGAGTTTTCAGGCTGAGGTTCTAAAATTGAAAACAAAGGCCCTGCTTTTGTATAACTGATGAAGAATAGTTAAATTCAGTCATGTTTTCCAGTATTTTTATGAACTATTTAACCACCATTATGAGAGAATATTTACAAAAGTCTGAAGCATACCTCCAGAAGTATGCAGATCAGAAACATCGTGCCACTTTACTTACACATGGAAACATGTATTCTGCATTACAAATTATTTCTGACTCAATCTGTCAAAACATGACACTTAAATGTGAAAAATTACACATATCAAAAGAACAAAGTATACCTTCAGTATTAATACCACACCACAAAAATCTGAGTACTCAAGCCAACATGTCCAAGCCCTACTAGCTCTCAAAAAAGCAATTTCTATAAAACCTTCACTCACAGGAGTATACGGACTCTAGTAAGCTCACCCTTCCTATTTTTAGTTTCTGACAACTAATATACATATTTCAGAATAACTGCTTAATTCACCTTTAAATCTGTGGCTTATGCATCAGGCATACAAAAATATGAATTCTAGGTTCTGATGCCTCAAAAGTTTCATTGCATCTTTCTTAAAAATCCTGTGATGCAATCTCACTAATATAATTAATATTCTTGGCACAATATGAACTAAATCCAGAGACACTGTTCAGACCAGCAAGATTTAGAAGCAGCTGATGTCTGAAAATAAACACAAGAGAAAAAGCACCTTATTTTTACATACACTGAAGCTGAAGAGTTGGCAAGATTAAAACAGAAGGAATGTTTACGAATCCCTAGGGCCTGGCAAATTAAACATCTGCCGGTGAATAAGCAGAAATATAATTATCTGAACAAAAATCCATGTTATTCGTTACCAAAGAGAAGTACTCTGTTAATCAAAGGGGGAAGAAAAAAAATCCTCCTCCCACACTAACAAAAAAGCGTGTTTCTTCACTGGAATATTAGCACCAAAAACCATTCACGGTCTAGTTGCTCTTGAAAGGAAGGAGTAATTCTCTTCCTTTTCCATAGAAAAGTGGACCTTCATACATACTCAAAAAAAAGGAACACTGTGAATGAAAAAATATTTAAGAGAAACCCTAATAACCTACAAATCATAGTTACACTGTTCTCTGACGTTTAATCATCCAGACCTTTTAATAAACAGGTAACTGTCCTCTCGTCTCAGCTTAAAACATGATTAAGGCATGACAGTTTAAGAAAAAGTAATCCTGACCTTGTCACCAAGTAGAGGCAACAGGTGGCTAAATTCTAAAAAAATTAAACCCTGTAAGTTCTAGAACTGGATCATTAGCACTGACAAATACTGACAAATAATTAAGTCAATGGTACATCTATCCAACCTGTATTTTCAGCACTGAAGCGTTTTTACCAATATCAGTCACACAAACATACAAAATTAAAAACGTGCCTCTAATTGAAAAGGGAGGGCTATATTGTTTATTATAGGCATTTTTGTTACATTCACATTTATCACCTCTAAGATAAATATACGCTTTCATACAAACCAAATGCTTTAAAATTTTTTGCTTGGAAAATAAATCAAGAAACAAAGACAGTTGTCATTTCAGGCACTGCAATAACTACTTGGCATGTCAAAACAGTTTATTTTAATATGCTTTGTATTTTAGTACAAGATCTTATGTAAAACAGTGTGATTCCACACTGAAAGCAAGTATGTCTATTTAGAAAAAACAGGAAAAGAAAACTTTTCCTTAAAGCAACTTTCAGTTGCAGTAGATTTAAGAATACTATATAAAAAGATGAAACATGCTCCTTTTAATCTCTTTATCAGTTATAAAAATGTTTTAAAACGTACTTTAAAAGACCATGTGTTTACATCCAATCTAGTCAGGCATTTGAGTGCTTTAATTCCACCCATCCAGTGAATACTCTAATCCACATCATTCAAGTCAGCAAAAAAAAAAACAAACCCAGATAAACCAGTCTCACAGAAGAAAGTTGTACAACCAACAAAAAATGTCCACTCTTCAGAGTAAGCACTATGTAAAGCCAAATAATTGCATCAGAGAGCTTGCTTGAGTTATCCAGGTTTAAGTTTTTAAATGCATCCACTACTTAAGATCTCAAGAAGTTCAAAATCCTTTAAAACAACAAGGCACTCTTATGCAGCCTATCAAAGTAGTTATTGTACTGTCTTACCATCTAACACTCAGGCATAAAAAATTTTTTAGGTAGCCAAAATCTCCCTTAAATTAAGGTTTAAATAAAACCCCAAACTTCAGTGTTTCATTCATACAACAAAACTTGAGATCCTTTCTGATAGATCTGCACTACATTTTAATTTTATCCACTCAAGTCTTGCAACTTAGCAGTCATACAGAGGTAACTAAAACCAGGTAGTAACTCATTAGTTCTGAACTGGAAAGCAGTGATTCCATGTCCATAGCATTTTGGAAAAATGTGTTTTAGGGAAAAGGCTAACAAGTAGAAAGTACCAGATACTCGGCCTGTTACTGTCCTCTCTGTCCAAGAAACAAAAGATCCACCCAGCTCTGCTCTTAAAAACAGGGCCTGAAAGCCCTGGAACTGGAGGAACTTTTCTTCCTCGACGCTATCAGAAGACCAAACGTCAAAGAAATTACAAAGGACAGATACTTGATCTTAAAATTTCAAGAACTGAAATCCGTGGCAACCGTGGATTATTTGGAGTTGTTACATACATATACTACTACTCACACATCAGACTTCTCAGCTGGGTTTCTAAGGAAAAGAAGTTAACTACTTGAACATTAAAAATCGTATCAAGAGATGCACAGAACATCCAAAATTACAAACTATCATTTTTCTTTTCTTCCTGTAGACAGTCCACAAACAGTACATAGTCCCATCTAGTACCAAAAGCAACACCAAAAATGGAAAATAACTACTGATGAATGTGGAGCTACTATTTAACTTCTTTACATAAACTACTTAAGACCAGACAAATTTAAGAAGTGAAGAAAACAGACCTAGGCAATCACTCCTTTCTCAGTTTCTTAATCTATCCCTGCAAATCACAAAGGAATATGTGTAAGCAGAAATACTACTTCCTTATTCACAGTTCAATACATTTAATTAACTAGCATCTGGCAAAAACTCTAACACACAGCTCGGTATGCTACACAACATCTGTGACAAAACAAAATTAATACTGGTAGATTATCTGATTTTACCTTGCCTCATCAGCATTAGCTGATGTTCATGTCTAGCTGCTTCCATTTCTGCCTCTAGTTTCTCTTTGGCTTCTCTAATGTTCCTGTCAACCTGTTCACGTTGCTGCTTTTCCATCTCATCAAGAGCCTTCCACCGTGAAGCATACTCAAACTCAAATGTTCCAGGCTGAGCAAAACGTGGAGGCTGTTCTCTTTCCACAGTTAAAATATAGATAAGGACACATTTAGATCAAGAGCTGTAACCAAAGCATTTATAAACAATTGCTTCAAGAATAGATCTGACTTTGAATCAACCTGTCAGATGACTACATTCTAAACCAGTCAAAGTTTAATTCAGCTGTTAAAACAAGTACCATTATCAGAGAAATTGTCCAAATAAAGATCTGTTCAATTTATGCAATTTTAAAATAAAGATTCGTATTTACCTTGGTACAAAATATTAAGCTGCAACACTAGATTCTCTGTGTTCAGCCTTCTAAAGCAAGTAGTCAATTCGTAAAACCAGTTATTTAAATAAATATCAAAGCTTACTAGACAGCTCAGAATATTAGCTGAAATCTCTAAACGTTAAAAGGTGACTTTTTTTTCACATTCTAACACTGTAACTACCAGTGACACACTTCTAAAAACTGGTATTCTACAGCAATCGATTTCCAGCATTAAAAAATAATATTATCAGATTAGGTGAGCTCTCTTCCACTTTGTGTTCCCGACTCACTTTCTCAAGTCATGCTCAAAGTTTTATCTGAACCCCGGAAGCTGTGAATATTTACATTCCACACAGTTAGAGGGCTATTCAGAGAACAAAAACTCTGTGAGTACACAAATCTCTGCACGATCAGACCACACCCCTAACCCATAAAACACTATAGCTTGGCTCGCAGCAAGCTCCAACTGGTTTCAGCACAGGCCAGAAATCTTCTGTAAATGCACAGAATGTTAAATCAAGTCAAGCCTGAATTTTACTATGATTAGGGAATTTTGGCAAGGTCCTATTTAAGCCCTTGACACAGATTAATACAGCATACAAAATATTACTTCCTGCTAAACAAACTCAAAAAAAAGAATAAGTACATATATACCAAGTTAACTAAGTACATAAGTCATGTTTTATAAAATAAAGCTAAAGACAACTTACTTGTGATACTGTTGTGTTTTCTGCATTAGTTTCTCTGGAAGCCCATCTTCATCATCAAATTGCTCCATTGGTTCTACAACAACAGGACGAGGTGTTCTGGAAGATAGTTTCAATTTAGTAACTGAATCGTAAATGAAGCCGTTAAAGTTACATTAAAATTTTCAAGAAACACTCCAGAAAACTAATATGTTACCTATAATTCTTGTGTTTTGCAAATTCTTCTTGAAACACAGAATTTCAGTGAATCCTGATTTTAAGAATTATCTTTGAAAATAATTGTTTCTATACTCCAAACCAGCTATTTGGCCTAGAAACCGCAATTTACTTGATGTGGTTGTTTGCTGTGAAGTATTCAAATATTAAGAAAAATCTCAAATCTATCTACAAACAAGTACAAAATATTTAAGAATGAACTATCTTTTTGTTCTCATCAGTAAGGCAACACAGGGGCCATAATTATATTGGGAAAGCACCAAACCCAAAACAGAGCAACAAAATCTGTGCATATGTCCATGGAATATCGTTACTTTTGAAATTTAATCTACCGCTGAGAACAGCTTGATAATTTTGCATTAATATTCCAGCGATAATTAGAAAAAAATTTCTCATTTAAAATCCATTCTTTGAACAACCATACTCTCAAAAATCAGAATCCTAATTTATCTTTGAAAATCTTTTCCTTGAATTCTCATTATCTGTGGTAATCAGAGGCAAGTATTACTCAGTATTGCCAAGGACAGAAGTATAAGGATCCTGAATTGTGTAAAAAGCTCTCTGCATCTGCCTCAGGAGCATTGCCCATAATACACACCTTAGAGCAATAATAAAAGAGCCAAAGACATATTTTAAAATGCTAGAACTTACTTATTCTGTTAAATACCTTTACTTTGCAGATCTTTTCACAGAAAAAAAAAATTAAGATCAACAGCTGGAAAAGAAAACGTTGGGCATCAAGTGCAGATTAAAAAGATGAAGTCTGGAATCAGAGAGCTCTACCCAGCAACTGTTTCTCCTGATGTTATCTGCACAGCAATTGCTATCAGTTCTGTCACTTAAGTGCAAGTGAACTGTGCTGTTAACAAGTTAAGATTTAAAACAACAATTTTAAATCTTTAGTGTTTGAAATGTCTAGTTTTGATATATTTAGCCCACGAAAGGGCTAAGGGTTTGTCAAACAAAAATGTAAAATTTTAGATTCTGAAATCAAAACATCAAAGTATCACAGCAGCAGATTAATGCTAGCTATCTTTGCAACTGCCATTAGAGAAAATGTCAGCCACCTCAGCAAGACGAAGATCAAGCACTTTTTATTCACTCAAGCCACAGTCAGATGGTCATTTCAATCCAACTAATCCATCCAGCTGGTAAAACAAGAATACCCTCCCCTCATATCCCAGCTTTTTTTCCCTGTCACATCTCTCATGCCAAGAATAGCATCCATGTAACACTGAACTAGATTAATTCCCTTGTTTGACTCACCATGCTTCCATTCAGATACTACTGCCAAGAAAACCCAGGGGATACGAACAAATTTCTGGCACCTACTGATAACAGTGAAGGCATATCCAGATTGAATGCACAGTGTAGCCACCAGGTCAGTTCAGTTCTCTCCTGTCTTATCATCTGCTGGACCTGATGGGTAGTAAGCACCTTCAAATCCTCAAACAACCAAAAATGAACCCAATAAAACAGCTAAATAGTTTTCTGCTGTTTTAGCAAGGATAAGTGGCTTAAGGAAGTAACAGAAGGTTTTCAAGTGGATAAAAGATCAACAGCACAGACAGGGCAGGAAGACAAAAAGAAATACAAATTTTGATGTCAGCAAGCTTCCATGCTCTGGAATCACAGACTTGTTTTCACAAATAAGAAAAATAAAAATAAATTTTAAAAAAGTCCTCAATATCTATAATTTCACACAGTCTTTAAGAAAGCATTTGAAAATGTCACTAGTGAATGTGTTAAAGCACAGCAGCTAACAACTCCCTTCAGCAAGCACATAAGACATACAAGAAAGAAGTGCTGTAATTTCCAAGCTTGCTTGCCCTTGAAATAGTAAGTTTTCCAGATTGCTTCCATAAACTATTGCAGAATCTGTGTAATCATTTTAAGAAGGAAAAAAAAAAGAAAAAAAAAGTACTTCTGTCCTCTCAAGCCACAAATAAAACTTCTGAAACAGAAAAACACGGGAACACTCTCCTAAGCTTACAGAAGTATCAGTAACATGGTGCACTGTTTTGTTAAGAAACAGAGTAATATTATTTTGTTGCAGTTACTGGGTTCAGGAAGAGCGCAATCACTGAAAACAAAGGTCTCGCTAAAAAGAAACCCTGCTATACAGAGAAGGAACACTAATACTGCATATAGACAAGGAAAAGCAAAATGTTTCTATGGGACTCTCATTCAGTAACTACAAGTCATGTAAACAGTAAGCATAAAAAGATGGTTTTCCTCACAAAAAAAATACAACAAACACAGACAGGAGTATTTGGGATATTCATGTAAAACACTTCAATTTCTCACCTCATGGTTTTCAGAACCTGAAAATAAAATAAAAACCAGGCAATACTCATAAATGCAGTTTTCTTTGCATCAGATTCAAACAAAAGCCTTTGAACTTACGTTGTTAGCAAGAATGCCCCATCACTGCATCTTTCCAGAGCTTTCCTTGCTGGAGGTTTTGCTGCAAACTCTACGAAACCTTTTCCTGTAGCTCTGCCACGATCATCTACTACGACGACGGCTCTTTCCACTGGCCCAAACTGAGAGAATGCTTGTTCCAGCAGCTCATTAGAAACGACAGGTGACAGATTCTTGACCGTTAAGGCAGCTCCATGTGTAGCAAATCGAATTCGAAGTGGTCTGCTCTTCAAAATAGTACCATCGAGTTCTGCCTTCGCTATTTCAGCCAGCGTCCTAGATTCCTTTTTCAAGACACAAAGTATTTTTAATATTTTATTTCCGGAGACAATAGATACCACTTTTGTATTTCCCCCTCGCTACACAAAGTAGCAAGTTTTTTTCCTTAATTTGAGCACATTAATACCAGGGTCATTCACACCTTCCCCCCCAGAAAAACCCCAAGTTCCTGCCCATTAATTGGAAAAAAAAATGCATTTGTCATCCTCCATGATTTATTCTAAAAAATGACACGTGCAATTTTCTGCTGCACATTAGAGGACTTAACAAGTTTCTCTTTGTGCTGCCCTGTAGAGGCTTTTTCACTAGAGTTGAAAACTTGAAGCTTTTTTATATTTACCTACTCAGATGTTTCTGTCCTGTATCCCTAGCTCCATGTAGTAGGAAATTATTTTCAAAGATGGTGCTACAGGATCTAAGGCGTTTGGGGTTTTTGGTTTTTGTTTTTCAAAAAGTGAAAATATCACACTTGCTCATCATCACTGGTGAAGGATGTCCAATTCAAATTTCAACAGTAAATGATGAAACAACTACCTCCTTTGCTTATGTGTTCATTCTCGAGTTTATTGCCTTTCTGCACCCACATCCATGAGGCACTTGGCATCAACAACTGCCTTTTTTCTCTTTTCAGAGATTTTCACCAAGTTTAATACCTGCAATCTCTTAAATAAATTATTCTTTAGATGACAGCCATTTTCTCCATATTTCAACTGACTAAACTGTCAAAAAATAACATATTCCCTAAATACAACAGAAAAGGAAGGTCACGTAAAAGTTATATATATATATGCAATCTGTATTGCATACAAAACCGAGTAGTTACATGTAACTGTATCACACTTTCTCTATTTCAGGCTGAGGGATTCTGAGGGTAAAAGTTGTACGGCAATATGCCACAAGCACTTAACTTTAAAATCATAACCAAAAATAAAAATCCTAGCCAGCAAAATAATTAGAAAGATCATAAGAAGAGATACCCAAAGCACTCTAAAACTATTCCCAGAATGATATAAATCAGTGCATTTTAAACGCGGCAGTCTTGAAAACTAAGCCTGCACATTAAACTGGCATTTACGGTATCATATGCTTTTCAGATGATTTTTTTTTTTTGCATGCTCAACTTCGGCCTACTGATGGACTATTATCCCCAGAAATTCAGTCTTATCTGGCCACAAGCAATTTAAACAACCCAAGGTCCCATTTCTTTGCAATTCTGAGATTAGGTGTTCTTTTTTCACGATATGTGAGCAGAGGTGCTTCAAAAGAATCCTGCCTAGTCTTTAAAAAAAATGGGTTTTTTTCACAGACGAAACGTATACTCGAACTGTACAAGCCGAGATCTGCTTCTGCAGAAAGGATTTTTTTTCTAGTGCTTAAGTACGACAAATTCACCCAGTTCAGTAAGTCTTTACAGAGGTATTACACGAACAAAGCGGATCGGCGCAACCCCATTTTCCATTTAGCGCGGCAGCAGCGCGCAAGCGGGAACTGGCCAAGGGGTCCCGAATGCAGCCGAGCACCTCGTAGCGAGGCGGGAAGGAAACGCGAGGGGCTGCGAAGGCTGCTCACAAAGCAGGCAAGTAAGGGAGGGGTGAAAAGGAAAGGGAAGGGGAGGAAACGGCCCGAGCAGAGAGAAGAAAAAGGGAGGAGGAGGAGCCCCCACGAGCTTTCTTTACACCCGCCCAAGGAAAGGAGAGCGGGGCAAGGGACAGAAGCCTCGCGCTCGCAAGGGCAGCCCCGGAGGCTCGCGCAATCCTCACCAGGCGAATGAAGCCAAAGCCGCGGTCCCGGTTGATGAAAACCTCGCTCGGCTCCCCATAGCGCTCGAAGAGGCGCTTGAAATCTTCCTCAGTGATATCG